ACAGCGGCCTGGCTGGGGAGGGAGGGTCCTGTAGCAGGGCACCGGCTCCTGTGCCACGTCAACCAGATGGGCAGCACCAACTGTCGCTGAGCCCGCGTCGATTGTAGGTAGCGCAGCACTGAACTGATAATTTAAAAATTTTAATAGCTATGTATTTATTTTAGTGTACACGAGGAAGAAGAGTAATCAGCACATGTCCCCCCCTCTGTCCTGGGTATTAGTGCCTAGGGAGAGGCTAAAACGAGCTTGAAAGGTATGGTTGATGTCAGGGCACAATCTTTAGTTAGGTTGATTTATGTCTTCAACAAATATTGGTGCTAGGAGATGTTGAAGTGTTGAGGAGTCAGCAATGAATAAGACAGGCAAAGTTCTGCTTCTTAGGTAGTGTATGTTCTTGACAGGGAAGCAATGAAGAAGATGTCTCAGGTAAGGCCAGCAAGGGCCATGGGATGGAATGTGAAGTGGACAAAGCATTGTTCCCGTGGGGTCACCTTCCAGGTCAGAAGTAACAGGTGCATGTGCATGATGTCTGGTGGAGAGAAGCGCTACGGTGAAGACGGAAGAAGGGCAAGAGGCCCAGGGGCGGAGCAGGTGGTTTCTGAGCGGAGACCTGACTAATGGGAGGGGGTGTCTAGGGAAAGCTGCTAAGTCAGAGGGAACAGCCCACCACACTGATGGTGGGAGTCTAGGGCTGAAGGTGTTGACGACCCAGAGAGGCTTGGTGGACAGGGACGGCGATCTCAAATTACCTTTTGTACTTGTTCCCTTGCGAGAATTAAACTTATAATGATCCCCACGCTTTGCTAAATAGCCCAATACGTCCTGGTTGAGCCTTGTCTGTCAACGTAAGGTCATCATCAATCAACAATCAATTACTGAAGATTTTAATTGGAATTGCAAGTCCGATCCTCCCGGAAAGCACACCAGACGGCCACCCCCACCGCCTTTCTTGTCTGCTGGGTTGCAGTGCCACTGTTTGCTGGACCCATCTACCAGGCCGCCTACACCCTGATGTTGCTTTGGTAGGATCAGGAAGTATTCGCAAACAGTGGCACTTCATTTCCTAGAGAAGAAACTAACTTTTGACAGGATGGAAGAAAGAACCCGGGCAAAGCTTTCATGGTCTTTTCTTTTTCATTGATATATCTGCCAATCACTTCGTTTCGACTCCTTGGTTATGACATCAGATAAGGAAAAGGAAGACCCAGGAAGAAGATTTGGGTAAGCCTTAGGTCTCCAGTTCAGGGTATTACATTACTCCAAGGTCGATGGTCAGTGATGTGTCTGACGGCTGCAGGTAGAACCCTGCTCTCTGAGGGTACAGGACATGAGCCCCTTAAACCAGCCTCAGGACGTCCGAGGTCCTTGTCTTTCACCTCTCTTCTGCTCAGCTGGCCTCAGTTGACTAGTTGGGAGTACCGCAGTCAGCGTTGGTACTCCTGGAACTTTTAGCTAGCAACTCCCTTGAGGGCAAAAGTAATAAAATACCTGGCCTGGTGGGGACAAGGGTCTCAGCAGACGCACAGGCTGGTTATTGCCCTTGGCAATCAACTGTCCACCTGCAGCTAAAGACGCTCAGTAATCCTAGAACCCCACAACCCCAGCCCTGGCTCCCTGCCTTCTCTTCCATCCCCCACACTCCACCCCTGTCAACTTTCACCTCCAGTCACACTGAGCCCATAGACACGCCGATGTGTGCAGACTACTTCAGAGGCTAGCCAAGCACACATTTTTATTTGTAGTTCTGTGTTTCCCATAGTTTAAAAATCTTTAAAGCCCAGGAACAAAAGCAGTGGTATAGTGACTGAGCCTGGACCAGCGTTCCTCGTTGGAGGGGACTCTTGGCATTTGAACGGGGAGATGCTCGTGTGATGGGCCGTCTCAGCCAGTGCCTGGCTGTCGCATCTCTGCCACTGAGTGCCATTGTGGCCACCCCAGGCACCCCACACACACCCCACGCACCCCACACCCCATGCACCCCCACACCCCACGCACCCCATGCACCCCACGCACCGCACGCACCGCACGCACCCCCACACACCCCCACACACCCCATGCACCCCACACACCCCACGCACCCCACACACATCACGCACCCACGTACCCCCCCACACACCCCACACACCCCATACACTGCAGATCGGATAAGCTTCTCCATGAAAACCCCACCAAACTTGTACACAGCGCTGGAACATTTGAATAGCATTTCGGATTCATCTTGCTTAGTTTAACTTACTGGATCTGTTCGGTAAGAACAAATGAAGTTCATGGGAAGGTTTATGTATCATCAGACGATGGTGGTTCTTAAAAATAAATAGTTGATATTAATAAACATAGTTTAAGGCCTTCAAAAGTTTGCCAGGCGGACCAAACATTAACTAAAGAGGACATTACAAGTGATCTTTAAAAAAATCTGCTTTAGTTAGGAATGCCTATTGAAGTCTTTATAGGTGAAATGAAATTTTCTTTAACCCCACGGTTTAAAATGGAGCCCGAGGAGGCGAGATGGAATGAAATGGACCAAATGGCCGTAACTGTCGAAGCTGGGGCAGGGGTGGGGAGCCTTTTCTCTGCCAAGGGCTGTTTGGATATTTATAACATCATTCGAGGGCCACACAAAATTAACAACTTAAAAATTAGCCTGCTCTGTTTGGTCAGACATTTAATTAACTCACCCCTAAGGTGATGCTGAGACTGCTTCTTTTTGGTGAGGCTGTGATGTCAGCTGTATTGATTCCAGGGTCTCACACAGCCTGCGGGCCAGATTTTCCCACCCCTGAGCTAGGGGATGGGTATGTGATAGTTGTATACTAGTCTCTCTAATGTGACTGTATTTACAATTCCCGAGTAAAAAGTTTGAAGAAAGTATTTCTTTCTGGGAGGGACACCCCCCTCCCCTGCAGATGCTATCTGAGGGGCTCCTGCCTGTTTGTCATGGTTTCGTGTCATTCTGTGGTCTCAGTTCCAAGGTTGTTGCAATGATAGGATTTGTGATGCTTCATACTTTAAACCACACTGCCACTAAGAAGCTATCATTTTTAATGGGTTATCTTTTTCATAAATGTACTTTTGTAGCCATATTGTGGAAGCTTCGAAGGTAGCATTTAAAGAAATAAAAATTCCTGGCCCCTCCGGCCCAAGTATAACCACATATAGGCTGTGGGTTATGGATGAAATTTATGGTGTTTACTTTATATGTATCTCTGTATTCACCTATATCTGCGTATTTTCTCATCTATTATTTTCTCTTATTTTTTTCCTTCATGTTAAATACATGCTTATTGATGATATGATGCATACTGCCTTAGGCATAATGTTATATTTAAGGATTTAGGCTCAGGTGTTTGACTCCAGGTGTGATCTTGTACAAATTACTTAACCTTTCTAATCCTCAGTTTCCTCCTTTGTGAAATGGGTAAGATGATCATAGATTATAGTAACCTCATAGGGTCGCAGTGAGGATGCGGGGGAAAAATAAATGCTCGATTATAAATATTAGCTATTATTTATAGCCCAAAATTTGTTCATAACATTCCTCTTACAAACAGTTCAGTCCCCTTCATCCTGAATGTATAGCTTCCATGGGAAAATACAGCTTTAACAGAATAGTATGATTGTGGAACTGTGAAATACCTTTTCGTCGTGGTGTTTGGATTGTTGGTTCCCACGATGATCTTACTCGTCTTCTCAGACCCGTGGGCTGACTGGAATCTTCTGGGCTGTTCTGAAGATGAAGGAAGAGTCGAGCCGCAGTCAGGTGCCTCTTAGTCCCAGCCTGTGACAAATTGTGGCAGGTCATCCAGGCTCAGGCCAACTGTCCCTCTCGCAACATCATTGATATGTTTTTGCAAATCTCAGGTTCAAGGGCTGATGACAGTCTTTCAACTAACTATTCAGAAAGATAAGTTTCTATGTCTATCCCAGGAAGATGTAAAATGTTGCAGTATGATCATCATGGTGTAGAAAATACTTGTGTGTAACAATTTCTGTTAGGGATTATCTCCAGTGGCAACAGCTCTGTCACTCACATAATAGAACAAAGGACAACTTGCTGCTTCTTTCTAGCTAACACCTCGTGTTTCCCAAAATTTTTTGTAATCATTTCTCACTTTAAAATGAATAACATATTGGCATGATTTTTTTTTTTTTTTTTTCAAGTTTGTGTCTCTGGAGGGCTTTGTTTTTCAAAGTTAAGAAAAATTCTGGAATTTGTTGAAGCTTTTTGGCTGCACACGTATTCCGATAGGTTTAAGTCCTTACTTCCTCATCACACGTGCGTGGTTATATGACTAGTCAACAAAATCAGTGCTGAAAGCTCTCTTCACAGAGAATTTCCTGCGTTTGATTCAAATAAGAATTAATATTAATATATTAATGTGCGTAACATTGTACCTAAATCTCTTTCTCTTTAAAATGAAGAGATAGGGTATGGAATGAACATAGCAAATTTCTTCTTGCTCTAAAATATTATAAATGAGCCCTGGCCGGTTTAGCTTAGTGGTTGGCGCATTGACCTGTGGACCAGAAAATCCTGGGTTCGGTTCCTGCTAGGGGCACGTACCAAAAAAAAAAAGTATTATAAATTAAAATAAAAATGATCACCAGGAAATTTTCCTAATGCTCTTTTCGTAGGTGTTGGGGTGACTGAGGGAAGGTGCTCGTCATCTCTTCTGTCAGGGGGAAGCCATCGAACAGGGTTCGAGGTCTTCAGCCTCATCTTGCAAAGGTTCTGGCTAGTATTTAAAAATAAAATGCAGAACAAAACCGGAAAAGTCTGTATTTGCAGTAAAGATTCGTGCAAAGTATATGGCTTTTGAACTATGATTCTAGATTGTTCTGATGGTCTCCAGCTGCAAAACCACGTTCGATCACAGGGTTGGCGGGAGATGCGCGCTCAGGGCTGCTACCTGTGTTGGGTGGGTTGACTCCACCGATTCCTGGGATGGTTCTTGGTGGTTTTGGCCTAACATTTGATCAGAGGTCTTTCTCGTTTTGTCCAGGTTATACCGGAGAGCTTTGCCAATCCAAGATTGATTATTGTGTCCTAGACCCATGTAGGAACGGGGCGACATGCATTTCCAATCTCAGCGGATTCACCTGCCAGTGTCCGGAAGGTAAATATTATTGCCCCAGGGATGCTTTTGTTTTCCATTTTAAATCATAAACCAATTTAATCAGCTTTGTACTTTAAATTTCTGAAAAACGCTATACAAGAGGACTTCCTGTTTTGTTCCATTTATAAAACAGAATGTAAGACGATGTTTTTATTAGCTCTATGCTAGAATGGCTTGAAAATCATATTTGAATATGAGACACGATCTAGGAATTTCTGTGATTTTTATTGCTACATGGAAAATGAATAACTATAATAAAATGGAATTTCTTTCTAATGGTGAATTTCACTTGTTAAGATTCCTATTTTGTGAAATTATTTGGTTTTTAATACCAGTGCACATAAAAAAATTCAGAGTAAAGTTTACCTGCTTTTGTTTTTATTTTACTTTATTTTTTATTGATTTTTGAGAGAGAGGAAGGGAGAGGGAAAGAGAGATAGAAACATTGATGAGAGAGAACATCGACTGGCCGCCTCCTGCGTGCCCCCCACTGGGGATGGGCCCACAACCTGGGCATGTGCCCTGACCGAGAATCGAACTGGTGACCTCTTGGTGCAGGGGTCGAGGCTCAACCACTGAGCCACACTGGCCAGGAGAGAAATTTTATGTGAAGACACAGGTGGATAATCACAGCGATAATGGAGCTGGTGTTCAAGGAATGATTTTGTACTTGGAGGGAGTTTTGTTTCTATTCCTACTTGGAGGGATGTTATGGAAGGAATGACTTTAAACCTTTGACGTTGCAAGAATAACATGATGTTAGAAACTTTTCTTCTTAAAACCAGCGTGTGAGCTCCCGATCCACAGAAGTGACACAGACGAGCAGAGTAGCATGCCGTCCTCTGCGGGGAGGCGGCAGAGCGTGAGGGCGGCAGCAGACGTCCCTGTCACAAAGTGACCCTGCGCTGCCCGGGCTGTCAGGCTGGAGGAGGGCAGTGGTACCGGGTGGTGTTGATAAAAGGCCACCTGAGGACTCGGGGTGGCCGGTAGCCACACCTGCGATCGGCAGTGTCCTGTACGCTAATACTTTGAAGACTTGAACATCAGCTAATGATGGATCCTGTCTCCTGCTCACCTGGCTGGGGCAGCAGGTGGGGGCAGCGGGTGGGAGGCTGTGTCAGCCTTGGTGTGTTCCTCTCTGGCTGGGTGTGCTTGTGATGACCGTGGTCACCACGGCGATGGGTTGAATGTACTGGCGAGCCCCCCGCCTCACCCCCCGCTGGAGTCTCTTAATCAAACGGGAAGCTTGGAAACGCGGGGAGGGCTGCGGGTCGTGCAGTAGCACCCGTCGCCACTTGCCTGTAGGACACCCCGAGTTCTTCACACCCTGGGCTCGACAGGTGCCACCGGATTCTGGGTGTAGGCTGTGCCCACAGTCAAGAGGGGGCTTCAGGGTCACTGGATAATTGACTGCGGAAAGTCATTAATTCCCTCTCCTACCAGTTCTTTCTTCCTGTAGTAAACGTGGGAGGTGATGCTTCCTCGCAGGGCCATCCTGGGATCACGGGATTTCTGTGCGAGAGCTTTGAAAAGCCCAGTGTGCCTCGTCGTTGCGGCTTCGACTACTACCAGGAAGTCGCTCAGTCAGTGTCAGCTGCCCTATCATCATTGTTTTTCTAAGGATTATTACTATCAGACCATAGATGAACCTTCATGGGAATTTGAGAATTCCACTCTGGAGCAGTGTAGATTCGAGGGAATATGAGTGGGGACATGGAGAAAGGCTTGGGGGCTGTCGCAGCAGTCCAGGGAAGAGACCTTGAGGGATAGGACTTGAGAAGGCCAGCAGCTGGCGCATTTGAGAGAACTCGGAGGTAAAACGGAGGGTGGGGGATGGCAGGAGACGGAGGGCGAGGCACAGAGAGGTGGTTAGGTCTTGGCTTGTCACTTTATTGTGGTTGTGCCATTCGTGGAGAGAGAAATGTGGAGAAGTGTTCTGTTTCGGACCTGCTGGGTCTGAGGAGCCCTTGCGACATTCGAGTGGAGATGTCCTCTGGGCAGTTGCTATGTCAGGGTGGACGGGGCGGGGAGAAGTCTAGGTCAAGTCTAAACACAGAGACATTAATTTATAGCTTGTAGTTTTAAAATTATATTTTAACTTTATTTTTATTGTTGATACTATTACTGATGTCCCCATCCCGTCCCCCTTGTCCACTTCTACACAGCCCCACCCCCCTCCCTGTGGCCATTACCACACCGCACTGATGTCTGTGTCTGTAGGTTGTGCATATATGTTCTTGGGCTAACCTCTTCACCTTGTTCCGTCTAGTCCCTCCAACCCCCTTGGCCTCTGTCAGTCTGTTCCATGCATCTGTGCCTCTGTTTCTATTTTGTTCTTCAGCTTATTTTGTTCATTGGATTCCACATATAAGTGAGATCAAATGGTATTTGTCTTCCTCTGACTGGCTTATTTCACTTAGCATAGTAATCTCCAGGTCCATTGTTGCTGTTACAAAGGGTAAGATGTCCTTCTTTTTTATGGCTTCGTAGTACTCCATTGTGTAGATGTACCACAGCTTTTTTATCCACTCCTCTACTCATGGGCACTTGGGCTGTTTCCAGATCTTGGCTGTTGTCAATAGCCTTGTATTTTGAACCTGGGTGTCCCTGACATTGTCTACGGACCTTACCCTTTATAGGATAGCTTCACCCTGTCTCGAGAAAGTCTAGAGAAAATGCAATGGTCTAGAACTGAAGGGATGAAGATGAATTTCCCTGGAGTGTTCATAGGGAGAGTTCCTTTCAAGGCTACCTTCACTGAAGACTGACTGGAAAGAGGACTTTGTTATAGCTCCGAAGGTTTATTGCAATGTTTTAAAGCCTCTTAGCAGGAACACATAACTGGTGATGAGTGTTTTTAAAGCAGTCCCTTCCACTGGCCTGTTCTTAGGGTGGTGGTTGTAGAAACTATTTATAGAGCACTTTGCGCTTTAAAAAGAGGATCCAGGATGCTTCTCATATCAGCCGTGCTGCAAAAACACATTTGAAAAGTGACTCAAGTCTACAGAGGTTCTGGAGTCTGAGCCAGCACTACCTGACCTTCTCTGCCTTCCTTCCTTTCTCCTCCCACCCCCACGATAACGTTCTGGCATGCTTGCTTTATCTGTACATATATAGCTTTTATTACCAAATAACTTTAAAATAAATTACAGACATCTTGGCACTTCACCCCAAAATAAATCAGTTAGGGTTTTCCGAGAATAAGGACATTATCACACCAAGGAAAATTATTAATATTTTCTAATATTATTTACTATTTGCTCCATTTTAATGTACTCCTCTATTGGTTTGTGTTGATTCTCTGTCCTGATTCCCTGTGTTATCCTATGAACCTTATTCATTCTCTCTCCCAACCCATGAAGCGTGTAGCTCTATGTTCTATATTAGTAGGAGGTTAATAAATATTTGCTAATTAATGATCAAAGTCAACAGATATCACTCCCTATGTCTATCCATTTTTTTGGTCATCACAATAATCCTTTGAAGCAGATACTATCCATATTTCCATTTAACACATTGGGAAACTGAGGCACACAAGGATTAAAGAACTTGCCTGAGATCACATAGCGAGACGTTTGAACCCACGCCACGTGGCACTAGCACTTTAACCATTGTCCGACACCATCTCTGAATATATTCTTTAACATAAATTCTGTTTTGTGTATTTTAAAAGATTATCTTGGTCGCCCTAGTGATGGGTAAAATCAAGGCAAAGTTTGTTGGGTCCCCAAACTTTTTAATTCTGGAAATTGCAAGGAAACGACTTGTTTTCTGTTTTTCTGTGTGAGAACAGTGGACGCCTCCCTCCCAGCGCAGAGACCAGTGAAAACCGTTTTCCCCGCCGATGCTTCCATCTCTGCGCTTCACACCCCTGCCCGTCCCATCCTCTTCACATCCATCCTCTTCCCCCAGGACCCTCTTCCGCCGGACCTGGGCCGGGTCCTTAGACCTGAGTTCCTTCCTGGGTCCCTGCCTCTCTGACGTGTGTGTGTCTGCTGCTGGAAGCCCTACGTCAGGCAGCCTGGGCAGCAATGGTCAAGTTCTCTGTCCTTTTGACAGGTGTCTCTTCTACACGTACATTGTTATCCTTGCTCAGTGGCTTCTGTCCTTTCTTCGAATTTCTACTTAACTTTCCATATTTGAAAAGCGTAGTTTCAGATTCCGGTTACAGTGGGGGGGGGGGGGCGGGTGAAAAGAAGCAAAAGTAAAGGGGTCATGAGTGTTTTCTTGTATTTACCTTGAATGAAAACAACAACAAAGGCAAGTCATTAAGAGCTGGTCTCATTGCCTAGGCGTTTACGCTTTGCGTTGGTGGTGTCTTTGTGTTTGGTGTAGGGCTTTGAGATCCTTCAATTTTCCAAGTAAGTGCATTTCAATTCTGAAGATGTCTAATTATATATACTGACCACTACTGCCTATTCTATTTACATGCATGAATACATTTAAATACGTATATAAATAAAATCTGAGTATTACTGTCTAGCCATCATCCGTGTTTCAGCATCTCAGTTTTTATCCCCACCTGGAAATCTGAAGTGGAATTTCGCATACATTAGTAAGGAACACAAAGAAATCCACAGAGGGGAAAACACTGACCGTTCTGCACGTGTGACCATTCTCATCTCACAGGGCGCGTCTTCTGTAACCCAGGCCCCTTCCTGAAATCCACCTGCTGTGGAAGGCCCACGGTAATCAAAGACCAAAGTGAGGACGTGGCTTCACGCGACATTTCTCAAGTGTGCTTTAAAAGCATGAATGTGAAGACATTTTCTAGTGCTGACCTTTGGAGAGAATTAGAGATACATAGCGTCTGTATTAACTGCTGGTGCGTGACAGCCAGGAGGACAAGTACTGGACTCAGGGAGGGACTCACTTCTTTTACTCCTGTAACTGTCAGAGAGCCACGTTGGGTTTTAGTATCAGACACTGCAGATCCTGTAACTTGGAAACTCCGTCGCCAAGTGTGGAGAGCTGGTGTCCTCTTCTGGCCTGAAGGTCAG